CACCCACCCCTGCCAGGGGGCTTCTGGCTGCGTGGCTCACCGCTGGGTGCAGTGGGCTGCGGTCAGCACCCACTGCTGGTGGATGAGGGAGCCCCAACAGAGGTGCTGCCAAAGCTCCAGCTCCTTATTGTACCGTCGGACGCTGACCTGCCAAGGCCATTGCCCAGCAGGGGCATTGTGCGCCCCCACGGGGCCACCCTGCTGCCTCCCTGAGCGGGGCCCTGGAAGCAAAGGGGACGTGATCAGAGACCCAGCAGGGCCCCTCGCAATCTGTCTCTCCCAGGACCCACCAAGGAGGCCCACCCTGAGTTGACGCTGAGGGGCCTGGGCAGCCTGAGCAGAAGATGGGGACAGGGAGTCAGGACTCACCTGGGAACGAGGGCACGGAGCCCCCCAGGCCTGGAAGGCTCAGGAACAGCAGCCACAGCATCTGCGGGGATGGCAGGGGCCTGGGTGAGACCACCAGGGGCCGGGGTCCCCGTGTGGGGATGGAGAAGCCGGGGTCTGAGCAGCGGCATCCTCACCTGGAGGGAGCCTCCTTGGAACCCTCTCTGCACCCCTTCATCCCCTGGCACAGGAAGGGCAGGCAGGGGCCCCCTGGCAGGGCCATGGGCAGAGAGAGCTGCTCCCCTCTCAGGCCGGCCCCAGGGTCAGTCAGCAGGCGGCGAGAAGCTGCTGCTGGACCCTGGCACAGACTCCCCCAGACCTGCCACCTGCTGTCACTGGGGAGCAGCCATCTCTGGCTACACGGATCTCAGCCACAAAGCACGGCCAGGCTGACGGCCTGAGCAAGGAGAGCTGCCAAGAGGGTGCAGTTTTGCTGAAAGAAGCCGCAGAGCGCTGGGCCCAGGCAGACGGGCCCAGGGAGGCAGAGCCCCAGAGCTGCTGCTGGGCCCCTCGATGCACAGCGCAGCCCCTGAATAGACTGGACCCTGTGAGGCAGCGTGGAGCTCGCCACCATCTGACCAGAGCATTCCATCTGCCTGGCACATGGTCTGTGGCCACCCTCACTGCCACCAGCTGAGGCCCTGCACACTGCCCTCTGCAGGGTGCTCTCCAGAAGCTGCACCAAGACAGGCTTTCATTCGGGTACAAGTCAGGGAGAGGCACCTGGGAGGCAGGTGGATGGAGCAGAGATGGGCAGAGGGCGAGGCTGGAGCACAATGCAGGCTGATGACACCTTGACCAGGCCACAGGGAGACCCAGGCCACGGCCCCCACTGGGACACAGGGCCAGCCCTGCCTCTCTCTGCGCCAGCCAAGAGGGACCTGCCAGGGTGAGGCAGCCAAAGGAACTGCCAGGCATCCCATCAGTTCCTGCCCTGAAGCGGGAACTGGCCCGCCTCTGTGTCCGGCCGCGTCCATCGCCTCCTGCCTCGTGTGCTGAAGAGGCGGCCACAGGACCACCAAGGCGTCCCTGCCCAGGAAACTGGGAAACAGAGGCTCAGGGTACAACTGAGGCTGACAGGGCCACTCTACTGTCCACCTGGGTCCCACCCTTTGCTACTAACCATGACTCTGGGACTTGCCTGGTAGCACGACCCAGACCCCCATCCCTGAGGGGCTGAGCTCTGGTCACAGGGACTTCTCAGGCCGGGTGGCTGCATGTATCCACCTGCCATCACATTGACGAGGGGGAGGCAAGGGACACGCAAGGGCCGTCACCTTCCCTGCCCCCCATTGTGACTCAGCAGTCCTGACTCTGCCTGGTGCTCAGTGTCATTGTCCCACCAAGATGGTGGCACGTCTTGCTCCCTGGCCTCCAGACACAAGGAGGTCAATGTACCCAGACACCAACTGTCACTCACGTCTCAGGAACAGTCCTCAGTGCAGGCTGCATAGCCTGCGATGTCCTGCCCCCCGCGGGGCTTGCGCATCACCAATACTTTTAACACCATCGTGTCTGCTGGGATCTGTGACGCCAGGGCAGCTGGACCTGCAGCAGAGCCCTGTCCAGCGCTGGGACCACTCAGAGCCCGCAGCCTGTTGTGTGGCCAGGGTCACGGGCTGGAGGGCACTGTGAGGTGTCAGCTCTGGACCTGCTTTAGAAATAAGTGCAGATGCAACTAGTTCAGATGGGGTCAGAGTGGAGGGGGGGAGGCCCTAAATCCAATGATGGTTCCTTGTAGGAAGAGGTGAGGATGGGAAGAGCACAGAGGGGTGGGGGGGACGGGGTGGGGGTCCAGGGATCCACCACAGGGAAGGGTCCCAGCTCCACCAGCAACTGTAGGAGGCAGGAGCCTGGGACTAGGTGTGGCCCCAGAACAACTTGATTTCGGGCTTTTGGCCTCCTGTGGTAAGAGGATGCATTTGTGTTGTTTTTAACTGACAACTCCCCCGAGTCATGGGCTGTCACTGCGACCCCAGGACACCACCCAGGGGGAGAGCCTGGTGGTGACTGAGGTGTGATGTCCCCCTGGAAGGGCATGGCCCTGCATGGAGTCTCCATTCCAAGCCCTGAAGGTGTCTCTTGTCACCTCAGACAAGGGGAAGAGGCCAACGCCTGTGGGCCCTCCCCAGGGTCCCCATGGGCACTGACCTGGCCTGCAGGGATATCTTTTGGGGGACACAGCCCTGCTGGCTCAGTGTCCGCCATCTTGCAGGCCCAGGGCTCAGTCAGAACAGATTTCAGAGACCCGAGGCAACAGGTCCTCCTGTCCGTCTCCAGCCTAGGCATCTGGCTCGCCCACCTTCCCTTACTGCTGAGCCCAGGACCAGGTGCTGGTGTGGTGATTCCAGGCAAGTGTGTGTGGGGGGGCGGGGGGGGCGGTGCAGGGAAACAGCAGCCCTGATCCCATCCTCTCATCCTCTGGAGAGAGAGCCCTGTGGGTCTACCCCGTGTCCATGCCTGCAGACACAGCCGTAAGCCCAGGTGTGTCTCACTCCAGCCTTCCTTCCACCACCAAGTTCTAGGTCCTTCTCCCTCCCCTGCGAGCACTGGCCTCTGAGGGACTCAGACCCCCATTCTTAACCCTGTAAACACTAAAGGTCTGACTACACCCTCACCCAGGGAGGAAAGCCCTGCAAAGACTCACAGTCCCCCAGAGCCCAATGGCAAGGCAGGCAGCCCACACCCTCCTGGCGGGCACAGGGGACCTGAATGTGTGTGAACCACCTGGCAGCCACCCATACACCAGGCCCCGTGGACAGGCAGTCACTTAGGCTGTCTGGTCCCGGGCCCCTGCAGGTCCGCCCTGCTCCGGGGAGGCTCAGAATGTGAGACTGAGGATCTGGTGGAAATGAGGCTGCACTTCATTTGGTCCCAGGAGTTGATCACATTGGAAAATGGGGGTTTGGCCTGCCGCAGGGTCAGGGGGAGCAGAGGTGACCAAGGAAACACAGCACCTACTGTTTGCATGCGGCCACGTGCAGGTCATTAAAGCCTCCATGACACACTGATTGAGTGAGAGTTTAGGGCAGAAGCAGCCCATTTATAGCTGGCACCCATATACTGAGCAAACCCATCTGTGAAGGGGCTTGAGAATCCTCTCCTTCCGTTGGCGTGAGTCAAGAGAGAGATGTTAGACAAACAGAGGTCAGGTGCCATGTGTC